GTTCGTTTCTTTTAAAAATTGCTATTGACAAGCTCGCAAAGGTTAAATTTTATTCGCATTTGTGAGCGTTTGGATATAAGAATTATAAAATTTCAAAACAAAAAAAATGCAAAAAAATTTCAAGTGAAAATGGTATTTGAAAATTAGAGTTGTGTTTGGATATAAATATAATTTCGGGTTATTTTTAAAGTTTTTTAAGTAATATGAGTGAAAATTTTAAAAAATAATATTTTTTAGTTTTTCAAATTTTCAAAAAAATCTAAAATTCATCTTCAAGTGAAAGTTAAAAATTTTTATGGCCAAATAATAATTTTAAAAAAAAAAGTGAAAATTTTTCGAAAAAAAGTAAAAAAATTCTTATGTCCAGACGAGCTCTTATTGTCTTTTATTGTAAATACAAAAATACAATTTGTTCTTTCTTTTAAAAGTTGTTATCGATAAGCTCGCAAAGGTAAAATTTTATTTGCACTTAGTATTTATACCAAATTATAATGGGAAAATTTCACATTAGAACAACCGGCTCCTTACTTTTTAATTTTATAGCCCATATTTCAATTTACAACCAACTAGCCCAAAAACAATAGGCTAAGATTCAACATTCAACTCCAATAGGTTCTCAAAATTACTATTTAATTTTTAAAAAAGATTCCTCAAGCTTTTAAGTTAATTTTCGAATCAGTAACTGTGACTCAAATATTAGTTCAACAAACCAAATTCATTTAAGTGGTGAAAATTAGATTTTTAACAAGCTTAAATATGTGGGTTTAAATTCCGAATTTGATTTTGTGAGAAATTTGGAGTGAGAGTTATTTAGACTTGTTAGAAATAGTATAAGGAGGTTGTATATAAAATTTGAAGTCATTTAAAGGAGATTTAGACCGGTTTTGAACAAGAATTGTAACTGAAAATCGTGGAAGAAGTTCGTCTACAGACGCTTGTATAAAGGTGTATAAAAGTATATAATAGTGTATGAGGTGTGTTTCTACACTCATATACACTATTATACAAGATTATACATAATTATACAAAAAACTGACTTCGTCTTCTTCCTTGCGTCTTTTTTGAAATTTAACTCAAATCTTGCTCAAATCTACTCCAATTCACTTCAAATTAAATTTTGAACTCCTTTTGATATTTCAATCAATTGGAACAACACCCAATCCAAACAACTAACAAGTTCAAAAAAATACATTTTCGAAAGCAAAGCTTTGAATGGTCTTCAATGGTGGATTTCTACTCTTCAATTTTCTTACATTGCAACAAGTTGACACAAGAGGAGAAGCAGAAAATACTCGGTACCTTGAAGCATAATTAGAAGATGTGAGAATAAAAGAGAGTGAAAGCAATGGTTGTGAGAACACAGATTTAACTCCATAGCTTTTAGAAGCAATGGTTGTAAGAACACATATTTTGATTTGCTAGTGCTTTCAAAATATGTACAATGTGGGCTAGGTCGGGTAAAACTTAGAAATTTTTACATTTTTATACACTATATGAAACTATATTACCCCCCCTACTCAAGTTTTACAATAATTACATTTTATATACCCAATTACCATTTATGTATATTTTAAGGGGATTAATGATAATAATTAGTGTCCTAAAATTACTCTAACGTATCTTCCACTCCCCCACGTTTCTCTCTCCACATCCCACCCCCTCCCCCACGTATCTTGCATCCACCCACGATTCCACCATTGACAACCATTAAAAAGTTTTGAAGCTTTGAATTCGAATTTGGATTTTTAAAAAATATTATTTGTTTGAATTGGATATTGTTGCAAAGAATTGGGAATTCTCGCTACGTCTCTCTCTATCTCTCAATCCCTAATTTCAGTAATGTAAAGCAAAGGAAAAGAGAGCAGCAATTCCACCATTGACAGCCATTAAAAAGCTTTGAAGCTTTGAATTCGAATTTAGGTTTTCAAAAATCATTATTTGTTTGGATTGGGTGTTGTTGCAAACAATTGAGAATATGGTTTGGAGTTTATATCTCAATTTTGAGGGGTTTTGGTGAAGATTAGACTTGGTTTTGGCTGAATTTCAGATTGAAACTCGAAGAAAAGGAAGAAGAAGAAGACATGATATACATTATATTTACGAAATTGTAGTAAAATTGTAGAAAAATTATATTCTGTTGTTTATATATATTTTTCTTTTATTTATTTAACTATTGTATGAAAGTTGAACAACATTGTATAAAAATTATATTTAAGTTGTATGATATTGTAGTTGTATATAACTAGTAGAAATTATGTATGAAAATTGTAGATAAGTTGTAGATAAGTTGTATAATGTATAATTAGTTGTATGAAATTTGTTGTTACTATGTATAAATCAGATACAAAATATACAAAAGACATATTGTATAAATTTTGTAGAATTACAAAAAAAAATACACATGACTTCACACCATAACAAAAAATGACCCATATTTTTAAGTTTTACCTGACCTAGCCCATATTGTACATATTCTGAAAACAGTAGCTCTTGTAAATTCAAAATCTGTATTCTCACAACCATTGCTTCTAAAAGCTATGGAGTTAAATTTGTGTTCCCACAACTATTGCTTTCACTCTCTCTTCTTCTCACATCTTTTACATATGCTAGGAGCCGTTCGCCATTACTGCTTGCAATGTCAAAAAAATTAAAGAGTAGAAGCCACCATTGAAGGCCATTCAAAGCTTTGCTTTCGAAAATAGATTTTTTTGAGTTTGTTAGTTGTTTGGATTGGGTGTTATTCCAATTGATTGAAAATATCAAAAGGAGTTTAAAATTTAAATTTAAAGTGATTTGGAGTAGATTTGAGCAAGATTTGAGTAAATTTCAGAAAAGACGCAAGGAAGAAGACGAAGTCAGTTTTTTGTATAATTATGTATAATCTTGTATAATAGTGTATATCAGTGTATAAACTCATCTTATACACTTTTATACACCTTTATACAAGCGTCTGTAGACGAACTTCTTCCACGATTTTCAGTTGCAATTCTTGTTCAAAACCAGTCCAAATCTCCATTGAATGACTTCAAATTTTATATACAGCCTCCTTATACTATTTCTAACAAGTCTAAATAACACCCACTCCAAATTTCTCACAAAATCAAATTTGGAATTTAAACCCACATATTTAAACTTGTTAAAAATCTAATTTTCACCACCCAAATGGATTTGGTTTGTTCAACTAATATTTGAGTCACAGTTACTGATTCGAAAATTAACTTTAAAGTTTGAGCAATCTTTTTTATAAAGTAAATAGTAATTTTGAGAACCTATTGGAGTTGAATGTTGAATCTTAGCCTATTATTTTTAGGCTAGTTGGTTGTAAATTGAAATATGGGCTATAAAATTGAAAAGTAGGGAGCCCAGTTGTTCTTATGTGAAATTTTCCCTATAAAATTTGTATTTAAGTGGATAGTTGAATGTAACCTTGTAAGCCACAGCCAATCTGCAAAACTCAAAACCGAGTACATGTAATATAGGTGTTTGCTTATGTTGTTTCAGGTATTAGAATTACAAGTGTGCAAGTTGTCAGAATTTTGCTTATTGTGCAAGTTTATCAGGATTTTTTTTTGGGTGGTCGAATTTGTTCGTTTCTATACAGTTTTATTCACTTTTAGGATTCTTTTGTCATTTAATTATCTTCTCTTCTTTAACTTGAAATCTTAATCCATATAGAGGTGCTAATTGACAGTGAAACTTTTTTCTGTGAATAGTGAAAGATTAAGAGGAAAAAGAAGTTGGAAACGTTATAAAACCCCAATATATGATGATAGTGATACGAAGCAAGAAATGGAATATCTCCCAAAAAAAAAAAAAAAAAAAAAAAAAAAAAATTCCAATTTGGGGCTTGGCTTGGTTGCTAGAGTAGTTCAGATTTCGAGGAGAATTAAATAAGAATAGGTCGGAAGAAGGTGGAAATAAAGCCAATCAAAGACAAGAACAACAGACAAATGATGTTTTCAAGGTGGAACTAAATCCCTTAATTGAAGGCACTAATAATGGATTGAGAGTCTTTTAAGATGGAATGTATATATTATGTAAATAAAACTTGTGTAGATAGGGTAATTTATTAAACATGAACATTTAGGGTAATAAAGTTTCCAATAGTGTATAGAAATGAAATAATCCCTATTTTTTTTTTATCAAACATCTTTTTTTAATAGACAAGATGGTAGAAATGACATCAGGTAACCACTCTAAAGGGCTGTTATTTAGGAAATAGCCAGTGCATCTTTAATTTGAGTTTTCAGTTCAATTTTTCAGGACAAAATGTCCTGAATTGTCCTGAAGTTAAGATTTTTAGTTTAAAATTTCAGGACAAAATAAGTATTGGCTAATCTCTAAATAGCATATCAGAGAATGACTATACGTGCACTTGCCCCAATGTTTTTGGCGCCAAATTTGTAAGCTTGGATTAAAGATTATACAATGTAATACAACTTTACTTGTCTTGAGAAGGATCACAGAGTGAGGAGCATGCACCAAACTATGCTAATTTACCATGATTAAGCAAAATTAAGCAATGTACAACATATACAAAAGACACATGTCATGCACTTATTGGCTTGGTACCATGTACTAGGTGCGAGTATTTTTCCTCACTCATGATATTTCTCTAGACGAACGATATTGTATCACATTTTATGATCATTAATCTATATAAAGCAACAAAAAGAGGATTTTTGATATTTCTCGTATGCAACAACAACAACAACAACACAAGTGAAGTATAGGAAGGGTAGCGTGTACACAGACCTTGCCCCTACCCTGGTGAGGTAGAGAAGTTGTGTCCAATAAGCCCTCAGCTCAAAAAGACAAAAAGAGACAATAGATCAGTACCAGCAACAGAGGCCAAAGAGATAATACCAGCAAATATAAATATCTATGCCAAGGTTTTAGAAAAACTTAAAAAGGAAAAGAAAGAAAAAGGTTAAAAAAAACAAAACAGTAGGTGCTCTAGTGTTGCTAATTTGTTTCATTTCTTTGCAAAGCAATGACAGTGTTGGAGATTGGTTTCCTTTTATGCCAAGCAATACATTGATTCAAAGGCAAAAATGCACAAAAAGAGACTCAGTTACAGAAGGTTGACAAGCAAAGAGATATTGGGTGCCAAAAGGCAACATATATTTCCTGAAATAACCAAAGTTCTGAGTGGCAATATGAAAGAATTTTAGCTAATTCAAGACATACAATTAGGTGAAATCCCTCGGGGAAAAGAAAGATGAAAGCCTTGATATGTTATGAGTGCTTCCTTCAGCAAATTGTAGCAACAAGGTTTCTACAGCTAGCTGCAAATACTCGATCGATCTCCAGAAATGAGCAGCCAAATATGGCCTATGAATCAATCACAATGTCATTACTGCATAATGTTGACTCCGAACGAATGCCTTCAGTTGAACGAATTCTTCAAACATGTAGCAGTTCAGTTTGCGCTTTCTGTTCTCCTCCACTCTTTTTGTCTTCAATACCAACATGTACGATCCATCAAACAACAGGCAGAAATCGTAAGATTTAACAGTAGATACACTGAAGAACGCGCTATGATGGATGACAAACAACTGCATTACAAGATAAATCGCTATCCACAACCCACATAGCAAACTGTTCAAGTCGTTTTTGTATCGTCTCTGAACCTATCTCAGGTGACCAAAAGGCAAACTTCTTTCCATTCCTTGAAGAGGTTTGGTTAGCATCCATATAACTGATATTCAAACTAAAATCAGTTTCATCAACCCTGTTAAATGTAGTTTTCTTGTCTTCCAATAACTTCTCAACTAGATTTACAAAATTTCCCTCTGTCGCAATTGAACCTCTTGTCTTCAAATTGGCAACCAAGGCAACGATTTTGTCCAAAACATTGTCAGCCCAAGCTTTTAAAGAGGACGATGAATTTCTAATGAAGACAAGTTTAAAGTTCTTCCCCAAGAAAATGTCATTTCCCGCCGGATCATAGGAATCAAGAAATGAATCACTGCTGAGAGGAATCACGTCACTATCCACAACCCATGTGCTGTATTTACGTTCCAAGGACTTTCTTATTACATGGGCCTTCACAACAATCTCTTTAACCAATTTTTCATGCGATTTGTCAAAGTTAATAGAGTTTTGTAACCTAATACTGTCAAAAAATCGGTCTGTGTCAATCACGGGATAACCCCTTCTTGCAAGATCAAGTAGGAAATCAGAATGTGCACCCAATAATACAAAGTTTTGGATGTTCAATCTTTCAAAGTGGCAGAGAAGATTCCTAATAATTGACTCTGACACCTGTTGTAGGTTCACAAATATTATTGTCTTCAATTTCTGAACCGCGTGAAGGACAGGGACCAAATCATCCGAACTGCGTACAATTCTATTAGGAAAGACTTCCCTGAAACAGAAATCGTACCACTTCAGACTGTGCAAAGATTGCAGCTTCAAAAGGTTAAGATCAAAAGACTTCTCATCCACTAAAGAAGAATCTGGCCCAACTGACTTCCCATAGTTAACACCAGCATCGCGATGCGACACACTAAAAGCTCGCTCATGCAAAAGGTTGGTATAAATATTAAAGTAACCACGGGCATGGATAAATTTAATGAACCAAGGTGTCCAGATTCTTTCCCCCATCTTTTTGTACCATCCTGTTGTCACCTACAAAACAAATTACATGTTACCGTAAGTGCTAGTTAATTTTAATAGGTTTATCATTATCTTCACTTATACATGCAAAGAGGAAAAAATTAATGCTACAATACCATCCCGTCAAGAACTGGCTTCAATCCCTTGGACTTGTGTGTGTCATACCATATGCGGAATTCTTTCCAAGGTCTTGGAAACAGAAGTTGACCCCAAGTGCCGACCAACTGGTACAAGAAAAGTTGAGTTCCATCATCAATCTGCATCTTGTTTCCATGTTTACCTGTTAGTCAGAACCAATTTATATCATCTGATTCAAGCAAAGACGAGTATAGACATTGTTACAGAGAAAATTCCCAGAGGATAGAAGTACTCCACTATGCCTAGCAACACATAAACCTTCAAACAGCGATGATGGACATGTGGACATGTATTCATCAAAATGGTGGGGAAAAAAAGAATTTTTATCAGCTAAAAAGCAAAAGAAAAACTTAAATTGAGTAGATTATACTAGGGTATTATAAATTTTATGAACCATACATGATCGTTCATGGAATTTTATACTATTTGGGGAGCAGACTCCTATGCGACAAAAAATGTGGAATACTAGAAGTGTTCAGAGGCTAATAGCATGCGACTTGCAATAAATCATTGAGTTCTGTTATATCTGTAATTTCAAATCCCAAAATGATAAAAGCACACATTGATCCTAAGTTCTCTTGAGTGTTTCAGCAACATATTAACATACAGAGATTCAAGAGTCCCGTAGTGTATGGGCATAGAATCACATCAATAATGCTAGCGGGGTAGCTCAAAAGGCTAAAATGAACTTTGATGATTATAATTACGAACAAAGACATATATCCCCATGAGAGTGTTATAAAAATATGTTAAATTGCTCAAGGGACACAAATCTGGTTTGACAATTAAGGGCATCGATGGTTAAGTTTTCTCCAAATAGAAAAAACTGGGAAGGAACTAACATGTTGGACTTCAGCACTCTTCATCTGAAAATGCTCGCTTGAACATAGTAGAATCTGTCTTAAAATGGAAGCTGTAGGAGTTAATTCTAAAATTACGTTCTTTCGTCGCTAATAGCAAATGCCAAAGAGAGATAGCAGAAGGGGACCTTATGCATTATCTTGTGAAGCAATAGGAAACTATAAATATACAAATGAAATAACTCCTACAATTGTATCAATTTCAACTTCTCTACAGCCATTTGGACAGAGCACAAGATTCCGTCATACTTCTACACCACTATAGACACAATGAATTCCACCCAATAAGAAGTTGCGAAACATATTTACATGTGATAACACGTTATGATTCACAAGATGAAAGCTGCAGACAACCCCTAGTTCATTCTTTCTGCTAAAACAAAGAGCATTTACCCAATGATAAAACTTATATCAGAAAAATTCATTTCACTGTCATGTATCTTAAGATGAGCCCTTCCACTGTTCCTAATAATATAATGCTTTGATTCGTCTAACAGGAACGACTTTGCATTTTGCTTCCTAATCTTAATGTAATTCTCTATGAGTAGACTTCTTTAGATAGTACATCAAATATTACTTTGATTATATCATAAAACTGAAGTTAAGTATTACCTGAAAGACTTCAAATAATTAAAATTCCTAAGAAAATATGATTGGAATTAGAGCCAAAAGGCACACTCAAATGGAAAAGAGAATGATAATAATTTGGATCGCTAAATTCAATTTTTTGTCTTTTCTCTGGAACGGCGAGATGCGTTTGCAATTTCCGCAGAGAATCAGCTAAACATGGTAACTCTAACCTCCTTATAATCAGATTGCAAATACCTAATACTACATTAGACCAGTAAAACAACTAGTGAGCTAACTATATGGCTGAATAATAAAAGGTTTAAAAAAAATGAGCTAGAGAAAAGTAAAAACAACCCATTTGTCAAAACCAAAGCAACAAATGCACAAGTATTCTGACACCTAGCATTAGTACATTCATCTGAGAAACTTAACAAGAAACAAAAACATCATAAGTTCACAGACATATAATTACAGCTTATTCAATAACACATAAACCATCAAAACTCATTTCTTCTAAAAAAACTTATGCAACACTTAGATCCCAAATGTTACACAACAACAAATGAAGGCAGCAATAAGAATAAAAAACAAAAACAATCAAAAGAAACTCAACAAACTTAAGTACCTGCAACAAACCTTGGCCGCTGCAATGAAGCACCATAAATCATAGGACTAAAATTAGACTCATTATAATAATAATTCTCAATCAAACTTTTCAAGAACCTAAAATAAAGAGGTGACAACTCAAGATCATCCTCCACAACAAATGCAAACTCGTCATCTGAACTAGGCCACCAAGCTTCCAACCACTGAGCTTGAAGTCCAGCATTTGAAGTCCTATAATGCACAAACTTTTCACCAAATTCCCAATTAAACCCATCAACAAAATCAAGAATTTTTTTCGCAAGATTCAATCTTTGGTCAATTTCCACATACCCTTTTGAGGAATCTTGAAAATGATCAATGTAGATATGTAAATGAACAACATGGTTATCATATTTTGCTTTGGAAAGTGAATTTAGGCATCTTGAAAGGGACTCAAAACGATTAAAGGTGAGAACTTTGATGATGAAAGTGAAGTTTTGGTGAGTTTGGGGGTTGTTGTAAGGGTTAAAAGAGAAAGATTTGGTGGAGTTTAAGTTTGATGGGTGAAAAGAGAAGAGGAAAAGAGCAGAAAGAGTGAGCAGTATAAAAAGTGGGATCAAATTTTTCAGAGTTTTCTTGGATTGTGCCATATGATTGTAATTTTGATGAATTATATCATCACTTTTTTTAGGTTTTTGTGGATTTTATAACACAGAAAGTTTTCATGTTGGATCTTGAGAATTGTGCTTGAGAGCGGAAGAAGGGAGAAGAAGAGTGTGAATACTGAAGATCAAGGGAAGTTTTACTTGGACAACTTGCACCACAAGATTTTGTCATAATTACAATTGTAGTCCCCTAAGTCTGTTTTTTGAGCTCAGCATAACATCTGATATTCTGTTCCGATGGAATTTTATACTGCCCCTTCTCGAATTATTATCGCGTTTCTCTTTTACGTCCCTTAAGAAAATACTCCCTCCGGTCCAAAATAAGTGATTTTTTTGATATTTGGAATTGACCATATTAACCTTTACTATCTCAGATAAACACTGCTAACACATATTCCAACACTATTTACTCCAAGGACAATATAGGAAAAAAATAATTAATTCATTCTTGAAATCTGGAAAAATCACTTATTTTGGACCACAAGAAAAATGCCAAAAAATCACTTATTTTGGACCGGAGAGAGTATTAATTAAGAAAGGTTTTAGACTATTTTAACCTTATTTATGTCGTAATATATAATCTCTCTTTATTGAATATTTACTCTATTTATGTTCTTTCTCTATCTTCATGGAATAATTACTATTAAGGGTAAAATAGAAAAATATATTTAATTTTATTTTGAACTTCTAATATGACAGATAATTTGAGATAACTATTTTTAGCAATCACGATAGATAATTTGAGACAAAAGGAATAATCTAGTTTTAAAGGTTGATGCGAATTTAATAAATCCAATTTGCATTTAATTTTAACTAATTTAATAATTAATTTAAGTCATGATTGTAAATCTTTCAAACTTGACCACTGTGCCTAAACTAATTTTTTATTAGTTTATATTGATGATAAAAATAACATTGATAATGATTTTAGTAATTTTATACTGATAGAGTTGGGGGAAGTTCAAATTAGTGTAATTATTTCAATATTGTCTCATATTAGCTCAATGAACTAATGTTTGCAAGGAAAAAAAAAAAGGGATAATTCGTCAAACTATCTCTAACGGAGAAATTCAATCAACTAAACTATCAAGGCCAGAATTTAAAGAGTTTCCTCTAAAAAGGTCATATTATAGATTTGTGATTGGGCCACTGAAGGAGAAGTACCCAAACACATCCAGGGCCCATGGGCCTATATCTCCAAAACGAAATCATCAAAAAAAGCTGGGAAACTTACACAAATGTCCCAAATAAATCTCAACTTACCAACCTCTAGCCATTAGTCATAGACTTACCAAAACTAGCCAACAAAAATTGAAAAACCAAATAATAGGGTTCTTTCTCTCAAAGAATCACATGCAAAAATCACCTTCCATATTTTTAAGCGTGACTAGCAACATTAGATACAAGACGGAAAGGAAATTTCATGGACGGGGTAGCAAATAAGGTGATAAAATATAAAAATCCATACAATATTCCAAAAATCTAAACAAAAAAAGAACTTTTTCAATGGGTATAGTTGAAATTCATTGAAAATATATAGATAAGTCAATATAAAAAATTTGAGGAAGATTGGAGGTGATTTGGACTGGTTTTGTATCAAAATTCGTAATTAAATCGAGTTCAAAAAAGTCTTCTGCGACACATGTATCAAACATGTATCACGCATGTATCACACACACAGGTATACATGGATATACATGTGATACACAATTGATACAAATATGCTACATATGTGATACACAAATGATACACAGTGTGATACACATATCATTTTTTTTTCATGTTCAGCTTTTACTTCGAATTTTCAATTCAAACCACCTCAAAACTTCACCAAATCATCCCAAAACTGAGATTCAAGCTCCTTAAGTTGTGCCCAATTTATTCTACTAACATCCACTCAAACAAAACAAAAATTTGATATTTTTTGCTACAAATAGCTAATTGGCTAATTTGGCTAATATTAGTAATATTTTATCAATTGGCCAATTTTTGTAATGAGCTACTTATAAATGGACATAGCTGGTAATTTCCCAAAAACGTTCTATCTCTTTCTCTTCTACTTATTTTCTACGACTCACAAATATTCTGTTCTTGTGGGAAATTCGAGTTAATTGCTGAAACTCGAATTTCAGAGGCTTTGTAAAATCCTAAAGGAATTCTGCTATTATCACTGCAACAACGAAGTGGAAAGCTTAAATTTCTTAAGGACTGTAATTACACTATCGAAGCCTGATTATTTCATCCAATTAATTCTCCAACAAATTTTATTAATTGTCATAGTAGGGAGAACGATAAACATCAAAAATAGAATGGATGTACAATCAAACGAGTCTTTATAGACTTTTAAAATATAATAAATGTGTAACAAAGTGGGGTAAAAAACCGAGGAAAGAAATCTTTGAAGAGAGATAAAGGGTCTTTAGTAAAATATAATTAAGTGATTTTTTTAATGAGTGTGTCAAACTCTTAAAAATCGCTTAAAAGGAATCTGAGAGAGTACATATATTAATTAAACTATGATCTAACTAACAATTATAGTTTAAAGATTTAGTAATTCCAAATCCCAATTAAATACTCCATCTAACTTAACAAACATTGAGCAATTCTTCGAACATATTCTGTAGAACTTTCTATGGCATAAATTAAAGGCTGCTAACCCTTTCAATTAGCTGGCCAAAAAAGTATTATAATAATTAGAGGCGGGGCTAAGTTTCGAATCTTATGAGTTTGAAATTATAATCCTTTTAAGTTATTGTATTTTAAATTATTAATTTATACATATTCATTAGATTTCTTAATACAAATTCAAAGTTTAAATAAAAGTTACTGCATTTGGCCGAACCCGTGACCAAACTTGACTTTAATTTATATTTTTTCCATCCTCTTTCCTTTCCTAACTTTTCAAATAATGTATAAAAAGGTTTGAGATACTTGTGGTGAAGAATTATTAAACAAAAGCAACTCTTTTCTAAGTCAAATTTGGAAACCGCCCATTCAAGATTGCTTTCAAATTTTCAATCTCCAATTAATTAATCACTTCAATTAAATAAGTTATTAAATATTTTATAATAAATAAAACTTTATTAAATGTGATTCAGACAACAAATAGTACAAATTCACGAGACAAACGAATTCGGGTGCGGTCTTTCGTGTGTTCCCCTTCGTCGGCTGACACGTGGCAAATTCTGGGGAGCCCCATGTCAGCCGTCCAATTTGGATATTTCGGTGAATAAGAGACATACAGCCCGTTTGGACATAAGAGTTTTTTCATTTTTTCCAAAAAAAAAATTATATTTTTCGGAATCAATGTTTAAGTCATAAAATTTTTAATTTTCACTTGAGATGATTTTAGATTTTTTTGAAAATTTAAAAAATTTCAAAAGTTATTTTTCAAAATTTTCACTCAGAACCAGTCATAAAACTTCAAAAACAACCCCAAATTATATTCATATCCAAACACAACTTTAATTTTCAAATGTCATTTTCACTTTTTTTTTTTTTTTTTTTGAAATTTTACTATTCTTATGTCCAAACGCCCACATGTTATGGGTATTTTAGGAAATTGGTATTTACAAGAGGTGGAGCCCATTTGACAGGTGATTTAAGATTTAAGCATAATTACTTTAATTAAGTACATTCAAGATTCAACTGCCTAACAAATTCTTCCTTCTTCCTTTTTTCTTTTGGTAACTAACAAATTGACAACTCTAACTTTGGACGTGACATAACTAACAATTTTTTTTTAAAAAAAAGTAAAGAAAAGTTGTTTTGATATACTTTTAAAGAGTAGGATAAAAAATAAATTTTTTAAGTATAGATAAATAAAAAGCTACAAGTAAAATTTTTATTAGCGCGCTCTATATAAATTCGAAGTATTATTAAACGTTAAGGAGGTGTTAAGAAACGAGAAAAAAACAACTAGTAATACCTTGGTACAAGTTTGAATTTATACCTATTTTTGACTCCGTAAAAGAAAATCATTTAACAAAAAATAATTCATAACTTAATATATCGAAATGCCACATATTGAATAATTTTTAATGGATCTAAATGATTACTTTTCTTGCCGAAGTGCTTATTTTGCCTACTAATTATTTTCTTTCTATTTGCTAATCCACTTAGGTGAGTTTGCTCATATCAGCCCTAAGTTCAGACATAAAAGAATTCAATAATTTGACGGAGAGTTCAATAATAAACTAATTAATTCATGATAAATTCTTATAATACATGTCTTTATCCGTAAGACGGTACAATTGAATTGGTTGCATGGTTTATAGACAAGTGAACTGATTTGACTCCAAAATGATAAATAAATAAAATGAAAGTAAGACTTAGCATTGAAATTGAAAGAAATGACAAATATGTTCCCGGAGCGAGGCTTCCGAAGACAGCGATAAGAACATTACTAGAAAGAAAATAGAGTTGTATTATTTAGCTTGAGAATATAATGTAGCATAAGTTTTGCCAGAGATTTCCTCAGTTACAACGGTTGTTCAAGTCTATTTTTATAGCTATACCTAGAAAACAAGATCGTATGATCAAGCCCCTCTTAAATCTCAATAATGAGGGTCATTGATGAATGTGTAACGGCATGCCATGAATGCCAAAATCATCTGCAACGTCTGCATATTTAATACTGAGGAATATTCTTCATTAAATACCACCGGGTGTCAAACATTCGTTTGCTTCCGTTGACTGCGTTCCCTTCGAGATCTACCCGATACCAAACGAAGCTGCTATCATCGGTCTTGGTTTTCAGTCCTTTCATCTTCCGTCTGTCTCCGATTCCACATGTCATGTAATTATTCGAGCATTTAATATAAATGAATTTCACCCTACACAACATATATGATCGTTGATATACAATTTGAGAGATAATAGGGAGTATTACACTAAGCTACAGGGCTTAACCATAATTGCTTGACTTATTTAGTAAAAATTCCCACAATCTAGAAATAGATTTTGTTGACTTTGTATTTAAAGTTTGTAAGAATTGTCAATCAATTTCTTGGTCCATCTCTTTAATTGTTTAACCATAATTGTAATTTTTTAAGTAAAAATTTATGGTCCAGCATTTAAATTTGCATTTTTGTAATAGCTGCCAATTAATTTTATGGTCCAATTCTTTAATTTGTTTCCATATAAATCTTGGCTCGTTTTAGACTTTTGGAATCTTCATTTGCTAACTCTTGTTTTTTGGTTCATCATTAAATTGTGGGTTCAACCATATACATCCCTAATTAAATAATTGATTTCAAGACCTTTTTGGTAACTTTTCAATATATTGGAAAGTCATATACTCTTCTACTATACATTTTCTTAAATTGAATTAGTATATAACTAGCATATTCTTTTACTTAGTATATTCGTTGTATTTATATTTATTAACTTGAGTGACAAGTCATTTGTACTATATTTTGTAATTTACAATCATATTCTAATATGTCATTAGTCATTAGTAATCGAATTTGTTAATATTCGAAAAAAATAAAAAGTTTTAAATGTACGAAATAACTGATTGGAGAAAGTTAATGTTTTCATCAAATGCTCTGATGGAATAATAGGACATTTAGTGTTTAACGTAGAGCTAATAGTATAAACTTCTAAAGTACATGCAAGATTATGCTGGTAGCTATTTGGCGATAGTATCTTCACCACCAAGAAGTATGGCAAAATAATGAAGGTTTCCCCACTCTTAAATAAGACGTTTCAGGTTCGTGTTCTTATAATAAATCTCGTATGATAAGAGATTAGAAAACCCCATTAGAGTGAACTTTTTATGGTGGGAATCCGGAATAGAATGAAATGGGAATTCGTAAAATCTATGAATAAATTAAAAAGATGACAAATATTATTTTAAATGATCTAAACAAATGAAACAATTCAAAATTTTAAGTAAGTATGTAGGGTAAATTCTATAAACCAAAAAAAAAAAAGTAATTTAATAATAAATCAGTCAATATTTTGAAAGACTTAATTATGTAACATACTACGTATAAAAAAAATTGAATAATATTTACTTGACTTGTAGATATCCAAATAAGATAATCCTTTTTGACCATACACAAAAGATGACATGAAAAATAGCCTTTGACTACTTGCTTGTTTCTGCAATAATTTTCATTTTATTTTTAAGCCATGGACAAAACCTACCAAAAAATTTATATTCTTACACTAATAAACATAACAACAAATATACATCCCTAATTAAATAATTGATCTCAAAACCTTTTTGTTAACTTTTCAATATATTGGAAAGTCACATACCCTTTCTATTATACATTTTCTTAAATTGAATCAGTAAACATAGAACTAGCGCATTCCTCTACTTAGTATATTCCTTGTATTAAATTTATTAATTTGAGTGACAATTCACTTGTACTATATTTTTGTAATTTACAATCATATTCTATTGTCACTAGTCAGTAGTAATAGAGTTTGTTAATATTCGAAAAAGTTATAGCAAGTTTTAAATGTACAAAACAACTGATAGGAGAAGCTAATTTTCATTAAATGCTTCGATGGAAGAATAAAGCGTCTAATATTTAAAATGTAGCACTAATAGTATAAACTTCTAAAGTACATGTAAGATTATGCTGGTAGCTATTTGACGATAATATATTCGCGACCAAGGAGTGTGACGAAATAATGAACATTCTCTCCCCTTAAATAAGATGTCTCAGGTTCATGTCCTTGTAATAAGTCTCGTTTTATAAGAAACAGTAAACCCCATTAGAACGAGCGCTCTATGGTGCGAATCCAAATTATTAGGACGTGTGGATTCTTGAAATCTATACAGATAAATTAAAAAGATTAAATATTTTTTTTAATTATCTAAACAAATGAAATCAAAATTTTTAAGTAGTATATATGACAAATTCTACAAAAATAAGTGATTTAAAAAGAATTTAATAATATTTTACTTGACTTGTAGAAATTCAAATAAAATAATCCTTTTTGACCATACACAAAAGATTAGGGCTGGGCATAATTTGGTAAATACCGAATTACCGTACTGAAACCGAAAATTTTGGTATTTGGTATACGGTATTTTGGTTTTTGGTATGGTATTTGGTTTTAAATTTTTAAAAAAATTGGTATTAGGTATGGTATTTGGTATTTTAAGATAAAATACCGAAATACCGATACCGTACCGAAATATATATTATATTACACAAAACACATATTATCAATTATAACATAAATATAAAAAATCTAAAATCTTACTTTCCTTTATTCTCAAAGTTCATCAATTAACTCTAAATAAGTAACAAGACATTTCTAATGATAAAATATTCTTTTATGTATAATTTTTCTCTATTTGGGTCGATATTTGGTAGTTTTGAACAAAACTTTTGTCAACAAACATTTTCAGTTTTGTATTTTTGAGTACTTTAATTAAGAATATTAGAGTGTATGGCTCTATGCACTAGTTAGTATTCAAACCGAATAAATCGAAGTTACCGAACCGAATAAACCGAAACCGAAAGGGGAAAAACCGAACCATATCGAATTTAATTAGGTACGGTATTAGTATAGGATTTTAAGAAGCCGAATACCGAACCGAAATATCTAAATACCGTACCGTACCGACCGACGAACACCCCTACAAAAGATGACATGAAAAATACCCTTTGACTACTTGCTTATTTCTGTAAAATAATTTTCATCTTATTTTTAAGCCATGGACAAAACCTACCAAAAGATTTATAGTCTTACACTAATAAACATAACAACAAAAATACTTTAAATAGTACTAAAAATTTAGCACTCTTTTGAAGTAGCTACCAAAGAAATACAGTACTACATATATTGAAAGATACCATACTTACTATATTAGCCTAGGAGACAGAGCCATTCAGGCCTAACCCTACCCCCCCCCCCCCCCCCCTACGTTGCAGGTACGGTCGGTAGTAGTGGTGGGGTTGGGTCGTTCCTTTACCCTTTAAA